AGTCTAGTCTATAGTCTAGTCTATAGTCTAGTCTATAGTCTAGTCTATAGTCTAGTCTATAGTCTAGTCTATAGTCTAGTCTATAGTCTAGTCTATAGTCTAGTCTATAGTCTAGTCTATAGTCTAGTCTATAGTCTAGTCTATAGTCTAGTCTAGTCTAGTCTAGTCTAGTCTAGTCTAGTCTAGTCTAGTCTAGTCTAGTCTAGTCTAGTCTAGTCTAGTCTAGTCTAGTCTAGTCTAGTCTAGTCTAGTCTAGTCTAGTCTATAGTCTAGTCTAGTCTATAGTCTAGTCTAGTCTATAGTCTAGTCTAGTCTAGTCTAGTCTAGTCTATAGTCTAGTCTAGTCTAGTCTAGTCTATAGTCTAGTCTATAGTCTAGTCTATAGTCTAGTCTATAGTCTAGTCTAAAGTCTAGTCTATAGTCAAGTCTATAGTCTACTCTATGTTGTAGTCTATAGTCTACTTTATGTTCTAGTATACAGTCTATTCAATAGTCTAATCTATAGTCTAGTCGATGTTCTAGTCTATAGTCTGGTCTATAGTCTGGTCTACAGTCTAGTCTATAGTGTGCTATAGCTATAGTCCGAACTATATACAAATTAATGATCCGATCTATAGGCTTTAGTACGTCAAAGCTTCCCCCAAAAATGCAGGGCAAAGATTTTTATACAAATTTTATGTAAAAAAAAAAAATAATTTATCATACATTATGGCATAACACGTACACGTGTAGTTGCACGTAGGTGTATGTATGTATATGTAAAGAAAAATATTCAAATATTGAAGCCCCCAAATTCTGTTAAATTCGTTATAATTTCATGTAATATTTTGCTTTATTTTTTTTCGCCTAATAATAAAATTATTTGATTTAATAATTATGCTGTGGATGGCGTAGACAATTTTAAATGGAAATTGTACATGATAAATGTTTTTAATTAAGAAAATTAATTAATTGAAAATACAGATTAAATAAAAAGGTAGGAAGATAGTTAAATAGAAATATAAATAGGAGAGTATTCCGTATTAAACAGTATTCCTGGGGAGGTTTGAATGGGGTCTAGGAGAAATCGTAGGCGGAATTTACTCTGCTTCAATACAATGTATTTGTCTTGCGGTTCAAGTCAATTGTGGGTGAATTTTCACAGAATACATTTTCCCAATTTCCTCTAGGGCCTAAGACAAACAGTTTCATGCCAATATTTTTAACTTAAGGGCAATAATTGCTAATTAATGGTAACGTTTAAAACATTTTTAATTTGATTATAATTTATTCTTCTTTTATGGTTACAGTGTATCTAAAAAAGCATAATAAAACTACTTTAAACCATTCATAAAAAAACTATAAAATAACAATGATTAATGAAGATTTAATGCAGAACCCTAAATGGTGTCAACACCTCACAACAAAAGTCTGAATAAAAAACGTTTTGAATGTTATGAGAAAAAACTTAACAGCTTATAGAACAATAGAATAATAAGTTAAAGAAGATTAATATAAAACAAAATGTAAAGAAATTGTTTAAAACAAAATAAAACATTGTTTTAGCAAATGAAATTGTTGTCTTGAAAAAAATGCTGCTTGAAATACAATTAAACTCTTTATGTTAAACACAATAATTAACAAACTTTTTTTTTTTTCTCCCCAAAAACAGTTCCAATTACTTGGTTAAAACAAATACAGAAAATAGGAAGATAAACCAAATGAAATATTTTACTAATCTGTCAAAGTCTAAAGAACTTATCCAAAAACTAAATAAATAGAAAACATCTTACAAGACACGTGTCAAACCAATTAGCTATTTCAGTTAAATTTCCATTTTGTGATAAAAATTGTAGATGACATCTTTAGAATACTGATTAAATGTTTTAAAATTAATTAATACCTAGGAAACTTTTGAAAATTTAATAGCCCTAAAGACAAATTTCACACATTTCTAAATATCGAATCCAGAAATTTGTGAAAACCAGTTCCGATGGACTCTCCTATCTCTTATATAGTATAGCCACCACTTCTAATTCTAGCTCTTTATATCAATTTCCTCTTCCCTTTCTTTGCCGCTTATTCATTCCATTATTATTAAAAAGCGAAATAATTCTAAACCTCGACTTTATTTATTAAATTACAAAAATTTATTGAAAACGTCAATCATTTGTCATATGAGCATTCAAAATGATTGAAATGTGAGGGTGAAATTGTTGTTTGAAATCCACAAAACAAAAAAAACCCCACTAAAACTAAATAAACTTTTTATAATAAATATGTATATAATTTGTTTACATCGTGTATATCAACCGGAAAAGGTCATTAACATTTTTTTTTTGTAAGTACATACATACATATTTCAAATTTTTTATTTGTTTCATTATTTTTAGACAGTACTAATGATTATATGCCGTTTCGTTTCCACTCTACTCTTCTTAAATAAATGATACAATTTATAATTTGGCAAATGTTATCATTTATAAGTGGGATTCTATAAAGTACCCTATAAATGTATATATAGACTGAGCTATAGTCAAGAATATAGACTGTGCTATAGTCAAGACTATAGACTGATCTATAGTCAAGACTATAGACTAATCTACAGTCAAGACTTTATCCTACGCTATAGTCAAGACTATAGACTAATCTACAGGAAACTCTGTACACTGATATGTAGTCAAGACTACAGACTTATCTATATTCGAGACTAAAGACTGATCTACAGTGAAGACTATAGACTGATCTTTAGTCAAGACCACAGATTGATCTATAGTCCAGACTATAGACTGATTTAAAGTCAAGACTATAGACTGATTTACAGTCAATACTATAGACTAATCTCTAGTCAAGACTGTAGACTAATCTATAGACAAGACAATAGGCTAATCTTTAGTCAAGACTAGACTTATGAATAGTCAAGACTATCTATAGTCTAGACTTACTGATATATAGTCAAGACTATAGACTAATCTATAGTCAAGACTATAGACTAATCTATAGTCATGACTATAGAATAATCTAAAGTCAAGACTATAGACTATTCTATACTCAAGACTATAAACTGATCTATAGTCAAGACTATAAACTGATCTATAGTCAAGACTATAGACTGATCTATAGTCAACACTAATCAATAGTCCAGTCTATAGTCAAGACTGGACTAATCTAAAGTCAAGACTGTAGACTAATCTATAGTCAAGACTATAGACTAATCTATAGTCAAGACTATAGACTAATCTATAGTCAATACTATAGACTATTCTATACTCAAGACTATAAACAGGTCTATAGTCAAGACTATAAACTGATCTATAGTCAAGACTATAAACTGATCTATAGTCAAGACTATAGACTGATCTATAGTCAACACTAATCCATAGTCCAGTCTATAGTCAAGACTATAACTAATCTATAGTCATGACTATAGACTAATCTATAGTCATGACTATAGACTAATCTATAGTCTAGACTTACTGATATATAGTCAAGACTATAGACTAATCTAAAGTCAAGACTATAGACTAATCTAAAGTCAAGACTATAGACCAATCTATAGTCAAGACTATAGACTAATCTATAGTCAAGACTATAAACTGATCTATAATCAAGACTATAGACTAATCTATAGTCAAGAGTATAGACTAATCTATAGTCATGACTATAGAATAATCTAAAGTCAAGACTATAAACAGGTCTATAGTCAAGACTATAAACTGATCTATAGTCAAGACTATAAACTGATCTATAGTCAAGACTATAGACTGATCTATAGTCAATACTAATCCATAGTCCAGTCTATAGTCAAGACTATAGACTAATCTATAGTCAAGACTATAGACTAATCTATAGTCAATACTATAGACTAATCTATAGTCAAGACTATAGACTAATCTATAGTTAAGACTATAGACTAATCTATAGTCAAGATTATAGACTAATCTATAGTCTAGACTTACTGATATATAGTCAAGACTATAGAGTAATCTATAGTCAAGACTATAGACTAATCTATAGTCAAGACTATAGACTAATCTACAGTCAAGACTATAGACTAATCTACAGTCAAGACTATAGACTAATCTATAGTCAAGACTATAGACTAATCTATAGTCAAGACTATATACTATTCTATAAACAAGACTATAGACTAATCTTTAGTCAAGACTATAGACTAATCTATAGTCAAGACTATAGACTAATCTATAATCAAGACTATAGACTAATCTATAGTCAAGACTATAGACTAATCTATAGTCATGTCTATAGAATAATCTACAGTCAAGACTATAGAATAATCTACAGTCAAGACTATAGAATAATCTACAGTCAAGACTATAGACTATTCTATAGTCAAGACTATAGACTAATCTATAATCAAGGCTGTAGACTAATCTATAGTCAAGACTATAGACTAATCTATAGTCATGTCTATAGAATAATCTACAGTCAAGACTATAGAATAATCTACAGTCAAGACTATAGAATAATCTACAGTCAAGACTATAGACTATTCTATAGTCAAGACTATAGACTAATCCATAGTCATGACTATAGACTAATATATAGTCAAGACTAAAAACTAATCTATAGTCAAGACTGAAGTCTAATCTATAGTCAAGACTAGATGCTAATAGATTGATCTATAGTCAAGACTATTGGCTAATCTATAGTCAATATTATAGACTGATCTATAGGCAATACTATAGACTGATCAATAGTTAGGACTATAGACTAATTTATAGTTTTGACTATAGACTAGTATATAGTCAAGACTATAGACTAATCTAATACTCAAGACTATGTATTAACTAATCTATAGTTAAGAATTTAGACTAATCTGTAGTTAGTTATAGAATAGTTAGTTAGAGAATAGTCTATAGTCAAGACTAATCTGTAGCGTAGGCGATAGGCGGGACCATAGTCCAGTTTTTTAACAGCGTAGTAATTAGTAATAAAGTTATATGTATTTTGTAGGGTACTTTTTAATAAAACATTCTTAATATTATAAATATACACACCATATTATACTTGAACTCTCTCGTTAGTTAGATAATGAAAAATCAACCAACCTGAAAGAAAACAGAAAAAGAATTAATATTAGAAAAATTTAGGTTAAAAGAAATAACTAAATAACAATATTATAGCTAATTCTAATAAAAAATTATAATGTTTGAAGAATTGTCCTTTATTTTTTTGTTAAAATTTTTTTCTTTATAAGAAAATTAATTAAAAATTTATAAAAAGTATACAATTTGAAACGGGTTTATATGTAAAGTTGGCCAACAATGTCATACAATTTCGTTGAAAACTGTTTTTTTTTTTCTTATCGAATGTAGGTTTTTCATACGTCAACACCTTTTAAAACAATGACAGCAGAAAACTTTAAACCACAACAGTGTGGGTTGAATGAGCTTTAAGAACAGTAATGGACACTAAAAGAACTAGGAAAACAAATTTTGCATAAAATATCTAAAAGGTATAATTCTTATATCTTGTTACTCTAGTAATAGCTATAAATGCCCTTCACTGTTTTAGACCAACATTAGTCTGGGTTGTCATGTCTTGTATAAGCACCAGCAACAAAAAAACACAATTTATGTAAATTATTACAAGTTTTAAGTTGACAAAAAAAATGTACTTGGGAGTTTGGGGTTCTCTTTAATTTACAAGGGAATTAACATAACTTTTTTCTGAAAAATTTTAATTTTCTTTTAAAATTTCGAAATAATGACAAAGTTTTCCCTTTCTTTTGTTAAAGCAATTAGATGAATAGACGAAAGTAAGATGTTGGAAAGACATTGAAAAGGGATTTTGAAAGTTAAGTTTTGATGCAGTAAGTAAAATTAAAAGTAAATATTATTAAGAGGAATTTCGCTAAATTGTAAAGGCAGTTAAATGAAGTTTAAATTAGGATTAAATATTAATTTAAAAACTGGTACACTTGGGAAATTAATATATTTAGGTACTACTTAACTGTTCTATTGTCCAGACTATTGACTATTCTATAGTCCAGACTATAGACTATTCTACAGTCCAGACTATAAACTATTCTATAGTCCAGACTATAGACTATTCTATAGTCTAGACTATAGACTATTCTACAGCCCAGACTATAGACTATTCTATAAGACACACTCTAGACTATTGTATAGTCCAGACTACAGACTATTAAATAGTCCATAATATAGACTATTCTATAGTCCATACTCTAGACTATTCTATAGTCCAGACTATAGACTATTCTATAGTCCAGACTATAGACTATTCTACAGTCCAGACAATAGACTATTCTATAGTCCAGACTATAGACTATTCTATAGTTCAGACTATATACTATTCTATAGTCCAGACTATAAACTATTCTGGGCTATAGAATAGTCTATAGTCTGGGCTATAGTCTAGACAATAGACTATTCTATAGTCCAGACTATAGACTATTCTATAGTCCAGACTATAGACTATTCTATAGTCAAGGCTATAGACTATTCTATAGCCCAGACTATAGACTATGCTATAGCCCAGACTATAGACTATTCTATAGCCCAGACTATAGACTATTCTATAGCCCAGACTATGGACTATTCTATAGTCCAGACTATAGAATATTCTATAGTCCAGACTACAGACTATTCTATAGTCCAGACAATAGACTATTCTATAGTCCAGACTATAGACTATTCTATAGTCCAGACTATATACTATTCTATAGTCCAGACTATAAACTATTCTGTAATCCAGACTATAGACAATTCGATAGTCCAGACTATAGACTATTCTGTAGTCCAGACTATAGACTATTCGATAGTCCAGGCTATAGACTATTCTATAGTCCAGACTACAGACTATTCTATAGACAAGACTATAGATCATGCTATAGTCCAGACTATAGACCATGCTATAGTCCAGACTATAGACCATGCTATAGTCCAGACTATAGACCATGCTATAGTCCAGACTATAGACTATTCTATAGTCCAGACTATAGACTATTCTATAGTGCAGACTATGGACTATTCTATAGTCCAGACTATAGGCTATTTTATAGTCCCAACTATACACTATTCTATAGACCCAACTATAGACTATTCTATAGTCCCAACTATAGACTATTCTATAGTCCCAACTATAGACTATTCTATAGTCCAGACTATGGACTATTCTATAGTCCAGACTATAGACTATTCAATAGTCTCAACTATAGACTATTCTATAGTCCCAACTATAGACTATTCTATAGTCCCGACTGTAGACTATTCTGTAGTGCAGACTATAGACTATTCTATGGTCCAGACTATGGACTAGTCTATAGTCCAGACTATAGACTTTTCTATAGTCCCGACTGTAGACTATTCTATAGTCCCAACTATAGACTATTCTATATTCCCGACTATAGACTATTCTGTAGTCCAGACTATAAAGTGATCTATTGTCCAGACTGTAGACTATTCTATAGTCTAGACTGTAGACTATTCTATAGTCCACACTATAGACTACTCTGTAGTCCAGAATGTAGACTATTCTGTAGTCCAGACTATAGACTATTCTATAGTCCAGACTATAGACTATTCATATTCCAGACAATAGACTATTTTATGGTCCAGACTATAGACTACTCTATGGTCCAGACTTTACACTATTCTCTAGTTCAGACTATAGACTATTCTATAGTTTGGATTATAGACTATTATATTGTCAGGACTATAGGCTTACCTATAGTCCAAAGTAATGGTTGTATAGACTGTGTAATAATCCAGTCTATAGATTGTTCTATATTTCAGACGTGCAAAAGTTTTCCAGACTTTAAGTCTCATACTCTTTAATATAGCTTTACACACACTTCGTTATTTCTAGGAAATCTGCGTGTTGGTGGTTTGGTTTTTTTTCGCAGTTAAAGAAATCTTGTTTGCAAGCTTTTAAACAGCAGCTCTAGAACCGAAAACAATTTGCCATTTCATCTTTTTATAAGATTTTTTTTCTTCTAAAAGATGTCAAAAGAAAGAAAATTCTTACAAAACATGTTAATGCGCAAAATCTCTTTTTCATCAACACCCAAATTGAAAGGGAAATAAACAATAAACACCTTAAAGAAATAAAGTGGTTCTAAGCGGCAGTGATGAATCTAAAATACCTTTTTAAAAGAGATTAGTAGGACTTATCTTAAGGTGGAGAAAAGTTTTTATTTCATTAACATTGGAAAGGCCTTTTTGAATGATTTCCATCAATAAAGACGATCTAAAGGGATTGGTACTCGATTTGGAATAAAACGACTCGTAGAAGACAATGTTTATTATAGGAAAGTTGTCAGATTATGAGTAACTTTCTCAGAGCAGCTTTTTCTATAAAAAATTTGTTCCAATTTTAGCAACTTTTTCTATAGAAAAGTTGTCAAATTCTTAGCAGCTTTTTCTACAGAAAAGTTGTCAGATTCTGAGGAAGTTTTTCTATAGAAAAGTTGGCAGATTCTGAGGAAGTTTTTCTATAGAAAAGTTGGCAGATTCTTAGCAACTTTTTCAATAGAAAAGTTATCAGCTTCTAAGCAACTTTTTCCATAGAAAAGTTGTCAGCTTCTGAGCAACTTTTTCTATAGAAAAGTTGTCAGCTTCTGAGCAACTTTTTCTATAGAAAAGTTGTCAGCTTCTGAGCAACTTTTTCTATAGAAAAGTTGTCAGCTTCTGAGCAACTTTTTCTATAGAAAAGTTGTCAGCTTCTGAGCAACTTTTTCTATAGAAAAGTTGTCAGCTTCTGAGCAACTTTTTCTATAGAAAAGTTGTCAGCTTCTGAGTACCTTTTTCTATAGAAAAGTTGTCAGCTTCTGAGCAACTTTTTCTATAGAAAAGTTGTCAGCTTCTGAGCAACTTTTTCTATAGAAAAGTTGTCAGATTCTACGCAACTTTTTCTATAGAAAAGTCGTCAGATTCTGAGCAGCTTTTTCAATAGAAAAGTTGTCAGATTCTGAGCAACTTTTTCTATAGAAAAGTTGTCAGATTCTGAGCAATTTAGTCTATAGAAATGTTGTCATATTCTGAACAACTTTTTCTATAGAAAAGTAGTTCAATTCTGAGGAACTTTTTCTATAGAAAAGTTGTCAGTTTCTGGGCAACTTTTTCATTAGAAAAGTTGTCAGATTCTGAGCAACTGAACAACTATTTGCTAGAAAAGTTGTCAGATTCTGAGCAACTTATAAAGAAATAACAAACGTAATGAAAAACTTAAAATACTTTAATCTCTCTGAAGGGTATAGAGCAGTAGGTGGTGAAGGCATGAAGGGCGTCAAGGAGTTATTATAAAAACAAAACGCTTATACACAAAAGTTTAGCGACAACACAAGTTTGTTTTTGTATGTTGATATTGTGTTGTTTTATTTCAAGAGCTGACAGACACCCAACAACAAAATTGTAATTTCTTTCACTTTGATGATGAATTTCTGTTTACGTTTGTATGGTGGTAAACTTTATGTTTACAGGATTGAGTTTTTCTTTTAAATTGGTTGGATATGAAAAGGATGTAAACTTGTAGGGATTAATAAACATGTAATGTATTAGAGGGCAACAAGAAGAGTGTAGAATGTCGCAGACATTTGTAAAGAGTATAACGACTTGGGGTTATGAAGAAAATATTAGCGTGGACCTTAGAATACTACTCAAACTTTTCCAAATATCTTTTTTATAGATCACCCACGATCAGTGCAACTAATAAAAGTAGCACACTATCTAACCTGACACCATTTGTTGATAATTTCTTTCACAAAAATGTTTATAATCTATTTGAATCCAGGTTCTGTACAGCTAAACTCATTGATTAAAATGTTCTAGTGTTTTCCCTATGTAAACCTATGTCTACACTCATCATCACTTCATCACAATTAATATAGAATACACATGCATCTAATGAAGCTGCAAGCACGTTTCTTCATCAACATTCAGCCTCTTTGGTGTTTCAACAGAAAAAAAATAATCAAAATGAACTTTACTTTTTGTTGCACACCAAGTTTCTTCATGTTTGTGGCAGGTTTCTGTGTGTTTTGATTTGGTAGCCTAACATAAAAAGAATGTTGTATATACAAACAACAAA